ATGCCACATAATACTATGTTATAGAATAATTTTGTGCTGATTATTATCCTCGAAATTAATAAATTTATGATTGTAAAAAAAGATAAAGTTCATTTAATATCGCTAGATTAAGTTTCGGGAAATAGAGTAGAATTCAGGAAGTTACAAGATTAAGTTAGAAGAGATCTCCTGAGAACATCATACATTCTGTGAAAATAATATTACTAAATACTTTTCAAATGAATAATTCAAATATGTTTCAAACAATTTTAATTGTTTTTAATCAACAAAATAGAGTTAATCAAAACAGTTATATGCATAAATAATTTCGACGATGTCAAGGATTGTTTATTCATTTAAAATAAATTTCGAATTTTTTCTGTATTTTCGTATAAAGTTCTCAACATAACAATTATTTTAATTTACTGACAAAGTGATAATTGGAGTGTATTAAAAATATAAAGTTATTCACTCAAATTGAAATGATTCAAAATGTATTAAATCTAAAAAAATATGAAGCGGATATTTGATCATATTGAATACAAAATTCCATTAATTAATTTAAAAATCTCATGGTGTATATTTTCTACTTTACTCTCCAACCTAATACAAAACTATGTTAAATAAAATATTTATATTAATTAAAATATTTCAATAAAAAAAAAAAGTCCGAAAAATATTTATCCAATAAAAATAATTATGATTAAAAAATCAAAACATTCAATAAAATAAGCAAAAATAAATCTACAAAAAATATAAAATTTTGAATTGAAGGACAGATAGATAAAGATGTCGTTGCCAAAGTGTAGTAGTGTATTCTGAAACTTTATTTTTTATTAGTCATAAATAAATACCATAGAGATACTTGGGTATTTATAGGTATTTATATGATAACTCAGTTTATGATGGAGTGTAGGACATAAAATGTACAATGAATATTTCGTTATAAAAGAAGCATACCAACTGAGGCCATCGAATTGTAAGATAAACTTTGGCGCGGCCAAACAGCCGCAATCTTCGCAATCTTCGCAGCTTTTTATCGTTGAAACCCATCCCTACATAGGCGGGCGCTACACGTGAGTCGCATTGATACTCCAGTTTGATAACACGGATTCTCCTGAGATTATGTTTGAGTTTATAGAGTTTACAGTATTATCGTTATTCTAATACACTAAGGATACCACATTCCACGTGACTTTTCTGCTGACAACCAACTGATTATTACTCAACATTATTCACAGACACGTGCTTATGTATTTGATCCATTAATTTTATGAATTTTCTCTGACCAAACAACTTAATAAATTTTCTTTTAAAATTTCAGATAAAAAACTTCTATCGAATTGTTTGAATAAAAAGAAATGTTTTCAGTTTTTTTGTTAAGCACTTTTATAAAAATGGATTTTTTTTGTTGCGATTTATTGCTGGTTTAATTGAGCAGTTGTTGTAAATCAGTAGTAATATTCGATGCTTGTAATGCATATTAGCAGAATGAGTGTATGAATAATTTCGCAGTGCGGATAATTTAGATGAAATATAATATGAATGGAAGATCTCGTAGGTCGCGATTCACGCGAGTGACTGCCGTTTTACTTGGTGATTTTAGTCTCGGTAGAGGGATGCTGTTAGGTTGAGTGAACAGCGCAAGATCTACCCCTTCCTAAGCGATGTCACCCCCACGAATCATTTCTCCACCAACGCTCTTTTCATGTTCCACTTGTCGAGTTTTTATTTTGCATTTATTTGTTCTTTTTGTTGTGTTAAATTAGTAAATTATTTTATTTTAATTTTTAGGATGACTTTTGTGTTACCTTAGTGAATCCGAAAATAATTCTATTTTATTAAAAATTACTATGAATGTTACACAAAATTTTTAACATTACATATAAAAATTGCAATTCGTTAGAATAATGTAAAAAAATGTTTTATTATTCACAATATTTCTTAAAAGGTTCATTTTATCTTTTTTTTTAATAAATTTTTTTTCTGATCGTTTACTTTTTTACAAGGTATTTGGTAAGGTGAAGTTGTTTTTCTTCCAAAGCCAAACTGTTGATACTTAATTTAAAACTCTAGGTGTAAAAAAAAATGATCAAAGACTAATAAAAAATTTATTTTAATTTGATTTCAAAGGAATATTTTTTTTTATAAAACATATAATACGGTAGAGTGATCAAAGTAAAACGATGACAATGTTGACCTCAATATTTAAATATTTGAATTAACTTTTATCAAAAATTTATTTTATTACATATAAGATAAATGAAATACTCACCCTGCGTGATCTATTTGACTCTGAAATGGATAATGTGTCGACCGGAATTTCAAAATGCACATTCTTTTTTGGTTTTCGAGGTTTTTTAACTTGTGAACAAAGGGTACATCTGATGAAATTGGCAAAAAAATTGACCGGAGCCATAACTAAAATTTAAACAATGATATTTATATACATATAGATATGTTTTAAAAAATCTTTATAAAAAAATATGTAAATATTTAATGTAAGAATTGTACTGGAATATTGCACAATGTCACGTAATGTTTATCAGTAGTTTTATATCCTACACGCAATAATGTATGAATGTATTCTGAAGTTTATAAGAGAATTAAAATAACATAATATAATTTAACATTATTATATCTAATTTTGCATTTGCATCATATTATGGATAATGTCATGTTTGACAAATTTCTGTTACGATAAAACATTTAAAAGTATAATGATTAAAAATTTATTTAAACTGTTGTTTCAAAAAAATTTAATTGCGTTTTTTTCCAGTAACAAAAAACAAAAAGATATCCAGATGAATAGATTTATAACCATAATTAGGATTAAACTGTCAACAAGTGAGCACTTTATTAGTAAATGAACGCCCATAAGCAATTCCATCTCAATATCATACTACTCGATATCGATACCATATTCATGAAACCATTCACGTACTGCTATTCATTTATTTGCCTGTACATTTAGTCAATAAGATCTTTATTAAGAGAAGTAATTAAAATTCTAATAAAAATATGAATATTTAGAAATAAAGTAAAAATTACTTTATTACAACAGTAGTGTTCAATGGCTTTTATCAATAATAATAAAATAATGAGAGATAGTTATTTGTCGTTGGGGTTTGATTATTCTCAAGTTTAATAAGAAAATATTATGCTCTATCACAAGGAAAATATTTACCAACCTGAGGTATTCTGAAATACGGATCATCCATTTGATATTAAAAGTAGACCTGAGACACGTTTCTTTCAAAAAGTAGAAATTTCAACTTAATATCGAGATGGAACCTATGTCACTCACTTTATGCTCACTGAACTCATAGTCCCTAACTACTGTGTGTTAGATACACAACAGTAAATGCGAGTTTGAGCTTTTGCTTTTGAGTAACAAAAAAAAAAACAAGTGATGTAAAAATAAATGTAAAAAGAACCAGTCATATGAAACGACAATCTTCGTTCAAAAAACTTATAAAAGACTACAATTTCTGAGATTTTTTTTTTTACTAAAAAATTGAGATTATCAAAAGAGATAATAGACTCCTGCAAAGTCATTCAGATGAATCAAGTCTATCAGTATATGAATAAAAGAAAGACTCAAATTCTCTTCATGATATTGATTTGTTTATTTTATTCTTCAATTGACTTTTTTCATATTAAAACTATTCGATGAACAAGATACTAGAAGCGAATTTTAATTAAAAATGCTTCAGGCTTATTGAAAAAAATGAACAATATTTTCTTGTTATATATTGAACTTTCGAGTATTTTTAGAATAATTAATTTTATATTTAAAAACGTGTAATGGTGGAATTCATTAATAACGCTGTATTTGCAAACATTGAAATGCCTTATGAACAACAGAATCCTAAAATAATGTATCTAATACTACGCGTTGGAAATTACACACTGTCTGAACACACATTGAGTTTATCCACTTGAACTCTTTTCACATAACGTGGCTTAGGAGAAGTAAAAATCAGTTGTGTTTTTCAAGTAAATGATACAATTCTACTACATGATCATTATCCAGTTCCCGGTAATATACTAGATTTAGTTGTTATTAATGAGTAATTATTTTATAATAATCACTAACAACATGTAATTTAATTTGTGTGATGATATTTAGTAAGGGAACACAAATGGATATAACTGTGTAAACACTATACTTAATAAGTTTGCAAGATGGTCAAGTTGTTTAATGATTTATGTATATCTATATCGAATAATAATAAAAGGAAAAGGCGACGAGTGATCAAATGGAAGTGCAATGTGCGACGATGCAGATAGGACTGATGCACGTGACGCATTCGCGACGCTCGACCGATGACGCAGTTATCCATTTACTATTGTATTATTTTTCTATTATTTTTATCGATATAAAAATTGATTAAATTTATGCTACGATATTTTTCAATTGATTATATCGTTTGTTTATTAATTTATTAAGTGATTAATCACTTGTTAAATTTTTTTTTCTTTTTGAAGAAAATATACTGAGTGTATTTTAACAACAATCGAATGAACTCGATCGAATTTTAATAACTAAATAGACAAAAAATTGAAGAAAAATGTTGTTTTAAAAACAAATAAACTTGCAATGGAATTCCTGAAGAACTAAATTAATTGGTAGAGAAAAAAAAACCCTTAGAGAAGAAATTCATGAGAATTCAGAAGAAATGAAAAGAGTTATTTGTTTAACTAGAATTCTTTCAGAAAAATGTCTATAAAAAAGTAGATTTTATTTTATCTGTAGTCTATCGATAAAGCAGAATTCACAGTTAACACCAACAGAGCTTTCGAGGAAAAATTTCTCGGAAACTTCGTCATCAGCTTTTTATTGATTCCAGCATTGCAAGCTTTCTTTAATACCTTAAGCTAAGTGTAGATGGCGTAGTTAGCAGTTAAACTGCACATGCGCTACACTCAAAAATATCTTTCAATACAATTTTTCATCATATTTTCCTCTAAACTTTTAATTATTAAAACTAATTAATATAGATATTAATATGACTTACTTTAATTGTATCATGATTTGAAACAATATACTGCGAAACATCAGGATGTATAGTGCGTTCCACAGAATTTGGTCTTGAAATTCCATCTAATTGTATGGCTTCTTTGATTTGTGGTGGTGAAGGAGGTGGTGGTAATGGTTCTTCTACGTTTATCGTGGTATATCTTGTTTTCTGGAATAAAGAAAATAATTATTCCGTTAATTAAATGCATCTCTGTGGATAACTGCTTCATAATAGACTCAACATTGTTTGCATTTTTTTCCTATTAATGAAATTAATTAATAACTAGCATAAAAATTTTATCTCTTGACTTTCTTCATTTTACTTTTAATTATTAAAATACTCTTCCAACAGTTCTTTAAATCCCGTAATCCAGTGCATATGTTTTGTTTTTCATTGAAGAATGCAAGTATTGATCCCGTATATACACTTTAAATAAATAAAAAATAATTGATATTAATCATTAATATTACAAAAAATATGCGCAAAAGATAACAGTTTTTCTTTTGATTTGAATCTGTGAATGTTAAAAAAAGAATAAAATTTTGTTCTAGATACTGTTAAGAAATTCAAAGTTTCGAATATTAATATAGAATAATTAAAATCACTTGGAAAGAAGTACTTGGTTTAAGAATCAAGTGATCTATAAAAAGAAATAAATTATAGGTCAACATCTTCATTTCTTTTTTGCTTAAAAATTTAGTGTATATTTCAAATGAAAATTAATTGTTAATTGACAGGTAACTCATCATAAATGTTTACAAATTAATATCATTTAGTAAAAATAGAACCACGTGACTGTGTAAATTGAGGTAAATAATCATCTTCAACTCACACTCCAACATCCACATAAGAGATTACTATTATTATCATCATCATTGCTATCATCATGAACTGATGACGATTTAATGGGCAATCGTCTAGTTCTCCTACGTTTTCGAATAATCATTGGTACTGCATATACACAGTTACTAAACCTACGTCGTGAATGACGTACTATTGACACCCAATCAATCATGGTAATAATAATTATCAAAAAAATTCCACGATTTAAAACATGGAAGATGGATTTATTTTCACACTTTGGCAACGAACGTGGATTTGTGAGGATGCACACGGGAATAATGACTGCAGTAGTTCGAGCTTATGACCGCATTTCTGACAGAATTTCCCCGGAAGAGGCTATTGTCAGAGTTGCTGAGTCAGCTGAAAGTTTAAGTGAAGATGAATTTTTTTCTTTGAATAAGAAACTCTTTTGTGGTATATAATTTGTTCAAAGTACATCTTTGTGGAATGATGCTTGTGATAAACCTATCATAAAAAATATGATAAGCTTTAAAAAAAAACCATAATTACAAAGAAATTCATGATTATTTTGTAGTAAAAAACTTATACTCTAGGTATTACAGCCTTTGGTAGACTATTAGATATTTCTTTGCATTTACTTATTAATAAAAAATGAGGCCATCAAGTTTTTTTCGTTAAAAAAAATTTTTTGCTATCTCATGTAATCTACTTTTTTTTTTTAAACAGACATAAAATTATTCAAAAGATAGCTTGATTAAAAGGCATGAAACAAAAAATTCGGCCACAATAAATTTGGATTAAACACAATACCCTCTTGTAATTAACCAAACCTATTCAGTTAACTATATTAAAGTCTTTGAATTATAGCAATTCAATTGAAAGCCCAATAGATAATACATTAACCTCTAGGGAGTTAATAACATATGTAGGTGATTATTTGGAAATTTAACGACTGCTCAATTAATTCAATTATCCTAAATTAGAAGTGTAAAAATGACATTAATTGTTTTCTAATTATTCACAATAGAGACTACATTGTCTACCCATTCGAATAATTGTAATAAAATAGTCCATTTATCAATGGCTAGAGAGAAAAAATACAAAAGAAAAATGATCTATCACACAAGAAAACCCTCAATAAAAAGCTTTTAAGAATCCTACAACAATAATATAAGAGGGTTTTTGATACATTTGTTATTTAATTTAGATATCAATCAAAAAGTTAAAGGTAAATTCTTCGATCTATGATAAGTTACCGACAAAGGTTGCATTACACCAAACTTCTTGAGGATGATATTCCTCTCTATTTGCTATCGCTGAGGAAGGAGGATTACACAAAACCTCACGTATGTCGGTAAGCACGAAAATGTATAGAACCGGCTGTGGAAATCAATATGAGCTAACAGATGAATTTGTTATTTAAATTGCTCTATTATTGAAAGAAGAATGAGAGAAATTTAATAAATGGTACTATGTAGCTTCAAACAATGATTGTTTCATCAAAGTTTCAATGTTAACGACAAATGAGCATATCTATTTTTTTTTAACGAATTCATTTGATTCATTGAGTTTTAATTATTTATAATATTCAGTGATATATATTATTAGAATTCTTGTAATTAAAGTAGAAATAATCGGATGGTTTTTAATTTTAGAAGAACAAATAAATAATCGATTTTTAAATTTTTTACGTTAAAATTGAAAATTTAATCAATTAACAATAAGATGTCAATATTTGTTTCTTTTCTTATACAGAATGATTTTATATAAGCAAGCAAGTTTTTGTTTTCTCTAAATGCATATAAATCTTCCTTGTGTTAAAAATGTCTACCTATTAATATGTGTGCTCAAGAGCTTTATCAAAATCGTTTATAAAATTTATTTATTTATCTTCACATTTGTTTAAATTATCTCCAAAAGTATTAAAATAGACTTATTCTCCTTAAAAATAAATGTTTAGTTTAATACAATGTATATCCGATTTTTTCAATGTGAAGTTGACAATGAACAGAATGAATGCAAATTATGTAAAACTATGCTGATAAGAATGCTGGAAATTTGGGGAGTTGAGAATATCGAATCGATCGACAGCAAAAAAAAAAAGATTTGAAAGATTTAAAACTTTCAGTAGAAAAAATAAATAAAACTTAACAATAATTATGATAACGTGAATGAGATAATGAAAAAAATGGATAAGTTACGAACCTGGTTTTGGTCAAGCGTTTGAGCATCAGGGCTGGCAGACCTATAGTCGTAAATGTTCAATAGAGTCTGGGTCAATGGAAAAGCGGAAGTCGGACCACCCTGAAAGTACCATTCATAAAATGAAGTATGAAAATGAACAGAGTGAAAAGTTGATAAAAGTTTGTGTCCATCAGGTGATAAGTTTGTGTGTTCGTGAGTTTATGTCCATCATACGTGACAACGAGTGTTTACTTTTTTATTTTGTTAATTCCCTAGGTATGTAACTTCATCTCTCTTGAGTTTAAAATTTATAAAGATAAACGTCAGTTACTTGAGTATTATTTTTAAGTGAAATAACGGAACATGAGTTGTCTGGAGATAGTAACTGTTATTCAAGCAACCCTTAAAAGTCTACATTTTATGCAATATTCTGGATGAATTTTACCAGGTGGATTATTTTCTTAACAGCATAGAACATTTAATTTCATTATTTCGATAAATAAAAAAATTTTAATAAAACTTTCAATGATTCATATGCAGTATTATGTTGTGTAGGTTTTCATTAGTGACTGTTTACTGGCCACAGTAACTACCATTTTGATCAAAATTTATTTTACTGCCTAAAGCTGACACTGTGAGTGGTATCAGGGATAAAAAAATAAAATAAAATCGTGTCTGGGAAACATTTTCAACGTAATTAATGATAAATAATAAATTATAACTATCATAACGCGACCGAATATCATTTCCATTTTCTTTATAATTTTATTTTTCACAGAAAAGCCGCGTTTGCATGCATAGTGAGTTAATTATTGTTGTTATCAATGATAACATTGACACGAATCCCAAAATAATGGCTGTTGATTTATTAATAACGATAATGAATGGACTGAAAGAGATTCTTTATTTATTTTCATCAATAATATCTGTTGTAATGAGAAATGCAAATTCATAAATCACATGAATTATATCAATTCTAATCAGCAAATATTTCTTGCGCGTTGAAGAGATATTGAAATATATCGTTATTGACAAGAGTTGATACACTGGCCTGATGTGTATATCACAGAATTGTTGATAATTTACATTTATCTGCATGAGTATGTTTACGGTCATCATGAATCAATGAATGTACTGAGGAAGAGGAGTTTTTGATTGTTAATAATGGTTTACATAAAAATAAATGTTTCGTTGGTAAAATTGCAAGGTTGATGATAATTTTATGCTGATTATAATATGTGAGTGGGTTGAGATAAAAATAGTCAATATTAAAAGAGATATGTCAATCTTTAGGGTTCAAAATAGAGTAAAGTGTTATTCAATTTTAATTTTAAATGTTGGTTTAAGAGAGAATAAGATAATATTTTTTTACAATTTTATCCATTCATATTATTTTATTGAAGATAATTATGAAAATAATAATAATATGAGTTGAATCATCACCTGATTTATTTGACCTCCAGGCCAGGGAAAATTTTTAATTTAAAATCAGGTAGAAATGATTTTTGTAAAAGTTCAATGTATTGAAGATTCGTGGTTATATGTTTTTAAAAAGTAATATGTGAATTTTTAACAGCAGTATTCAACCAGAAACAATAGATCAATTGACCGAGAAACAGAAATAAAGAAATAAAATGTCAAAAAATGCGTAAAATTTCGTTACAGCAGCAAACCGTTTAATGAACAAAGAAAGCATAAATTTGGCGAAAAAGTTTTTACAACGGTCGATCAGGAAATGTAGAATAGAAGCGGTACATGGACGCTTCTACATTCTTTTTTCTGGTAACATTCACTTTTGTATGAACATATACCTTTTGTAGGCATCACACTCATCCCCTCAACTGTACTACCTACTGTGTCATCAACTTTCGCCTATTATCCTAGCTGTTCCATTATTTCAAAGGCTGATGCTGTAAATTTTTGTACTACATTTTCCTCTAAGTATTCGCACTATTCGAAAGAATTATAGAAATTGAAATAGGTACACGAAATGTTTTTACTCTGCACTTTTTTTTTCTTTTCCGACTTTTGTGTTTCTATTTTATTTTTTTATAGAGATGCTGTGGAGTAGAGTGGTGATGTTGTGTATAGCATGTCGGATGCACATCACGAAAATCGAAACGAGCGTGCGAAATTCGACCGCAGTCGAACACTGTGGTGAAGGTGGATAGTAAAGAGAAAAAAACCCGAGGAATAGAAAAGACGAGAGACAACACGACGGGGTAAGAGAAATGGGTTCACTCTCGATAACAAGCAAGCACACTTCGGATTGTTATCTGCAGTTGCTTTTCCCTTTTTCATTTTTTTCCCTTTTTTCTATACCTCTCTATTTCTCTTCCCACATTGTGGAAATACACGCATTTATTCTCAGTTCTTCGCCCTCATGTGATTTCTGTTCAATTGAGAATACTGATTCAACCGCAAAAATGAGTATTTGAGCACCCATGAAACTCTATTTTGTTTCGTGCACGATTAGTTTTGAATTTATTTTTAGTTTAAGAAAATTTGTAGAGAATTCATGACTGTGGAATAGAAGTGAAAAATGAGCCCAACTAAGCACGAATTTTAACCAAACGAGAAGATGAAATATGCTACAGAGCTCATAAGAAGTCCTCAGCTTGAAACATTCGTTAAGTAAAAAATACTTTTGTTTATTTTTTGGTTTTAGCTCTTTATAAGTATTTGTATAGGTTTAAATGACTTGATAATAAACGACCGTCATGTATTTCTTCATAAAAATATAAAACAGAGTTGAGTCGATTTGATAATTAATAATCATTTAGCAAATTAATATAATTTGTAAAAATAAATTTTTACATATTGATTCAATTGATTCTTATAAACAATTTATTATAAAAGCTAAATTTTTTTGAAATTATATTTATCAAATGTAAAAAAAAATAATCAATCTATTGTGATTGATTTCATTTTCAGAAAATCTAATTTAATTTCAATTGTCATTAAATTACCATAATAGCATGGATAAACAATATTCTAAAAGAATGCCTTCTCTAAGGGAAATTTTCAAAAATTTCAATATGAAAAATATTAATTAACAAATATTTAAAAATAGACTAGATTATTCAGCTATTCATCAAGTTTATTCGATTTTGTTATGAATCTTGTTTTAAACACAAAAACAATTATTATTATCTTAAATAAATCAATAAATAAAAAAAATGGATCGGGGCTTACTCTGTATTTTATTCAACAAAAACTTTTCTCGAAATGATATTAATACTCGAACAATAATTAAAACTACGTTTCCATTTATATTTCTAATTATTATTTGTCCCCTTTAAAACACAATCAACCAAAAACGCTGGATATTATTTTGAACAGTTCAACCGACATTCAGTTTCCGAGAAAATATTTGTCTATGACAATTGAGTCTTATTGATGAATGGTAAATTCGAAGCGACGTATGTTTGTTTGTCTTTCAAATGAAGAAATATATGTAGCAAGATCGATAGACATGACTTTCAGACTTGTCGCACTATAATATCACAGACATTGAAAATGTATACTGTAATTGATGTGAAATTTTTCAGTTACTTAGTAATGCAATTTCATTGGTCACAGATAAACATTGGAGGGCAAAAAGTAATGTAAACTAACAAAGATATTACGTAGCTCCACAACCCAAGCATTCTCTAGAGCAAAGTATAAAGTATTTTTCTTTTATATTTTTTTACTTGTACGTTCGCGCATAGCTGTTTTTGTGCTCTAACTTTGCAATAGGTACTGGAGCAAAGTTGTGTTAAAGTCGTGCAATTGTCGAGATTAGTTTGCCGAACGACCAATGTGGCATCACCTGTATTTTAGTTCCACCGTATCGACAAGCATCAGATATATGAAACTTTACTTCTTTCCTCAGTGGAAATGACAAATGGATTTTCATCAGTTACCTTTATTATTTCTCCTAATGATTTATCGTGTTGAAATTCTGTCACATGAGTCGATTGTTACTCTATTTACATCAACTATTGAAGACCAAAACGGTCATTCGATCTGCTGAAAGAGAATAGTTGAGTTTGAAATGAGTTATTTTCAACTATTAAAACGCTTCACATTCATATGCTTTTTTTCCTCTTTTAATTCAATTTTATTCAAAAACGATTTTATTGAAAATCCGGATGTAGGACACGTTGTAACACTGAGTGATTTTCACCGATTTTTATCGTTTACGTTCAAATTTTCAAGTATTTGTATTCTATTACTTTAGGATCACTTACAACAATTGAATCAACGTTTTGAAAATGTGAGGGATTTTATTTTTATGAGAAGTAAAGTTTTGAAATACACCACAGAGAGAAGTAATTTTTCCTTCAATTTACTACTTTAATATCAGTAAAAATACAAATAAATTCAATAGATTGCTTTTGAGAACAAACATTTTATTCCTTGTAAAGGAGCTAAATAATTTTTTTTATTAAAGAATAGTCCAAGTTTTTAAGAAATATTTTATAAGTTGTAAAAAAAATTAGTTGTTTGTAGAACAGAAATAAAAATACGATGATAAAATTTATTTTTGAAACAATAAAGAATAAAACTTAACAAACCGAAAGTATTTTTGATTTCATTTAAACTTTCTATCCAATAAATGGAAATATTTGATAGTTTATCAAATTTTGATTAAATATTGGCATAAAGTAATTGGCGAGATATTTTCCTCAATTTTCCTAATCCTTTCAAATCTCTTAAATACACATTTTCATAAAATTATACATGTAAATAGTGGGGGTATGATGTCTGTACAGTGGACTGTACTTTCCATTTTAATTTTATTCAGGGTTACTTTTTAATTGCTCAGGTTATCAACGACTCCATAGCAATTATATTATGGTCCATTAAAATTATATCACTTGATATAATAAAAGTTAATAAAAACTCGAATGATACTCAATTTATAAAGAAACATTCTTCTCTAAATATTTATTTTTACCATCTTTGAAAAAACCAATCAAACAAACTCTTTTAGGATCCTGCTCAACTCCTTTTGTTGTAAATAAATCAAAGATTTCTTTACTTAAATTTCAAAAAATAAATCGACAATAACAGTAGAATACGTATCACAGTTAAAATAATAATCACTTGGAATGGATGAACAATTATTCCAG